GGACTTACAACACACTAGATGTTTCGATACCCATGGTGGGCAGAGCACAGATAGCCCTTTATGTAGCTTTGTGCTTAATACGAAACAAACAACTTTTTTTGTGTAAAACATTGATTTTGTAGAATAATGTGACCTCTGGTGGGTTAGCGCGTCTTACACATATTTTGCGAGGTGTATAGTAGTTTGATGGATATTTGATTTCGCAAAATAATGATTTGCTTTTTAAATATACAAAAAACCATTATAAATCCTTTCATTCATGAAATTTAAACATCTTTTGTTTGTGGTACATAGTATCTATTTGCTATTGCTATTTTATAGCCTCAGTGTAAATTTAAACTATATTTTGGGTTTTTAAATTTTATATATTGTCCTGACCGTGTTTTGCACATTATTCAAGTACAAAATCCATATATATTTAGGGTCAATTTCATAGTCTGCGAGGAAAAGTGAAAAATATTTGACTCTCTGTCTCTTTTGATTTTGTATTTGAACTTGTCTGTTAAGGCAAGAAAGTTTCTTTTATTACTATAAGGTTTTCTTTTCTCCTTCTAGATTTTGTTTGTTCCAATTTTGATATATTTCACAATTTATATAGCCACGTTCGAACCCTATGATTCAGTTCTAGCAGTCTGTTTTGTACATTTCACTAATCGAAATCATATCTGCAACGTTTTAAGGAAGACTCATTTGTAATTATAGATGTTTTGTGATCACATTTTATCGAAACATATGATAGAGATTCTGTTTTTTTGTTTTTTTTAAACACCATAAGTTGTTTAACACTAATAGAGTTTCTTACTTCTAATGTTTATTATTTGTGAATTTTGGTATGCACTTATCAATGAAATAATTAATTTGGTTCAAATTAACTAGGATAGGTTAAGAAATAATGTGATTAGAACTGTTTCCTACTAAATTTTATACAGTCTGCTCACTTGTGTTTGACAGACTTCAGTGTTAAATTAATAGGTTACGCAACTCTTATAACTTTCGCTGTAAATCAGTAACGTAATAGTGATATCTTTTCTGGGCACAAAGAAAGTAGCGAGCAATGAAGGAACCTGTTCATGCATAGACTATAATGGTTGGGTACGTTACATTAAAATGAATTTGGAGTCTTAACACGTTGTTACTGTCCATCTCACGCTCTATCTGACGACCGTGTATCTCAAAATAGCAGTGCTGTGTAGTTTCTATTGTAAAAGGCTCTTTCATAAGACTGCCATATCCAAAGAACACAACACCTCCATGCACACTTTCCATGATTCGCCTAGTGTTCGAAAACGACGGATTCCCAGCACCTATTTTAACATTCCATTCTCACAGAAATCCATAGGCGCTGCATCTAGTGACTTTACCAGTATGAGTTCTTACAGAATAACATGAATACCCATTTCATTCTTCAGCTGCTTGAGGTATGTAACAGTTGAACAGGAAGCCGGTATGACTGGAAGTCTTTTCTTTGTGGAACATACCATGTTGGCCTCGTTTTCACATCGATATCCTTCTTGATTATGTTGCATAATGTTGCTTAGGGCGCATGGACAATTTTTGTCACTGACCTTTTTATTCGTGAATTCTCAGCTGTTACAAGAATGCCACGCTTTGCTTACAATGACTGGGATGTGTCTTGTTGCAATTCTCTTTCTGGATGGCCTTAATGTCCCGAGCTTATTTATGCTCCTTTATTTTACAATGTTATTGAGTACAAAGGATATCATTATTTTGCAAAATCTAAATTCTCGATCTGTGGACATGTTGATGATCTGAGTGTATGAATATTTTGCATTGAAAAGGGCTGTTACATTGCCCTCCCAAAACCGATCTATTTTTGGGAATATTGCAGTACCTATGAAATGCTAAACATTGTCAAAATGTAGTTTGATACATTCTGTTCCATCATAACTTTATATTGGCCGTGGTTTTCACGTGAATTGTTGATTTACACATTCATAATTGTTTCACATAACCTACTCTCTTCATATACACGTATGTATACATGATAAAAGACAGACTTATGAAAAAATCTAGTTCTAGAATACCAAATTGTTCTATTTTCTTTTTATCAAAGTCTTAGAATGTAAGGCTGGTTAATTTTAAATATACAAATTTTTATTTACTTACCAGAATAAGAAAAAACCTACAAAACAAAATGAACGTTAACGAAAGATAAAAAAAGGAGGAAAGCCAGATTTTTCTGTGGTTCAAAGCAGGCTTCTGACTTGCAATTATCAGACAGAGTAGAAGTCCATTCTTACAAAAGAACTTGTCCTGTTTAAGCCTGGAAATGCTCCGAGCTTTGCTCAAAACGTACCAAAAAACGTAATATGGTTATTAATAAAACAAACAATTTTCACATGTATAATTAGTAAAACTTGTGGCTCAGTAGTTATGAAAATGTGGTGGGAGTTTTGTAACTACAACTCGGAATATTGATATCAATGCTGGTTTAAGGTATTTACGGTTATTAAACATTGAAACAGATGCATTTATTCGAAACCCTATAAAATACAGTACAAGTAATGCGCGTTAGAAAGTCTATTTAAAAAGAAAGATGATACTGCAAAACATTAAAGTAATCGGGGGTTTTGATGACATTACCTCTTTGTCATTTTTTATCCTTCTAACCCGAAGCTTTTCAAGAAAGTTTGTACTCATTCTGATCATTACGTTTTTAAGGCTAGTCTGCTTATGTATGAATCCAACCATTCTCAACTCTATGCGCTCATCGTGATGTACGCTCCATAAGGTTTTTATTATCTGTTGGCTATCCAATTTATGTCTACTTAAACTGAACTAAATCCCAAAACTAAAAGAATACTATAGTCGTTATATATATATATATTTGTGGTGCAAAAATAGTGCCGATAATCAGTCTTTCTTAAAGTCTAAACCGTTGAAAACTTATATTATAACGTTTCTTTTTATAAATGTAGACCCAGTATAAGATATAAGGATTTGAATAAATAAACGGGTTTTAATTACAGACAAAACAGCAATTCCCATTTCAACTAATTTAAAGTTCCTGAAAAACCTGTTTGGAATA